ATGGTGGTAATTTTGCCTAATTAACTTCTAATTAACTTATATTTGATACCAGTCATGTGACAGACTGGTAAAACACTGGTTTAGGAACCAGTTTCCCAGAACTTTGAAGATCAAGCAGGTAAAGAATATGGATAGATGGATAACTGATGCCTAAATAAAATTTAAGTACCACCGGTGTTACTTGTACCGTGGTTTTGAGTGTAAATTATTCCAATTAGTCCTTTGAACTTTTATTGCCTAAATAATCTAAATTCCTAACTTTTGAGTGGGTATCAACAAATTAAGGTATCTAAAAAGATAGATGGTAAAATAAAAAATTAGCTCTATGTGCTAATTGCTCTAGTTAAGAGTTTGCAAGTGAACACATCAAAACTTAATCTTGCATTGACAATCCAGATTCAACCAATTTAAAAATATATGTTGACGCAGAAAAACTCATCTGCTTCCAGTATGTTTTTCTGCAACAAAGACATCAGTTCAGAGAGGAAAACATTCGAAAGAAAAACGATTTAAAATCTCTAAATAAATTCCAAGCATTTTTTTATTGAGTTTTCTGATCTTCATTTGGAGTGAAAGCAAATTATCGAAGAGAAGGATGAGGAGAAATAGAGGTGTTGTTTTACAGAAGGGAGTGCGGTATTTTATTTTATTTTATTAATTTTAGACGTACTTTGAAAACTGCTTGTGTTCATGTTCAATTGTTTGCCCCTAAAAGCTCCACTTCAAAAAAACAGATCCCTTATTCATAAACGCCTTTTGTGCTTTCCAAAAAGCCGACAAGATGTTTGTATTGCCTACATAATTTACTTCAGTTACCATCTGAAAGCGTACACTATTTTGGTTTAAAAAGCAAAAATCTCTTCAGTAATACATTTATAAATAGAGACACCAGATTTCTGCAGCAAATAGGAACATAATAGCTGAGGCTTGTTGGCTGCTAATAGAAGAAATACAATAATATTTGCAGCGTATGAAAGCATTTCTCTCCTCGTTTTGCTCTTTGAATGTGTGTATTTTTGAGCAGGGATGAAGCTGCAGTGTGACTGACCTCCTCTAAACTGTCCATTAACCTTCAACACACACACACACACACACACACACACACACACACACACACACACACACACACACACACACACACACCTAACCAACAGTGTTTCCATGACAAGCTTTAGTTTTCATGCAACCCCACGATGCAACAGTGAGAAAAGGAAATTTCCCGTCTTCATCAGGGATTCCAGCCACTGCTTTTCATCTCCGCGGCTCTCTTCTCACTTTTCATCAGCGAGGAAGTAATCAGAAGGACGGCCGAGAGAGACGGGAAGACAGGAATTAAACCACACGAGGAGGAGGAGGAGGAGGNGGGTGACGGTGGGGGGGCTCATGGCCAGTGTTCAGTCTGATTTCTGCAAGCACAAATGGGACCGTCTGGATGCGTGGCAGTGCCGACTGAAAGATGGATAGATGGGGTGCAAGCGAAACGTGAACTTGGCCTCCTTCAGTGCTTTTGTGAAGATGTAATTTATGTTACCTTTTTTGTGTTTGAGGGATGTATGCTGACTGACGGCAACGACAAAATAAAAACAAGGGAAAAATACTAAATATGCTGACCAAATCAAAAAAAAAAAAGGCATTGCACGTTTATTTAGACGTCATGAGAAACATGAGTGAGGAGAAGAATGGTTCCAGAATAACAGAGTTATTTAAAAGAAAAAGACACGTTTGCCTTTAACAGTACCTTTTGTTTATACGTGTTGACCAGAGTGTGTTTGTCTGTTGCTATGTCTTCAAGCAAGAGTTGTCTGCAACAAATAATCCTCTAGACTCCTCAGGCTTCTCCTGGGCCTCAAGTCTGGAAAAAGTGAGAAAAAAACAGACTAAAAGAAACATTGTGTTGCTATTCTTTACTTGTCTGTAGACAGTTGTCCAAAACTGATGGTGTGTTTGTTTGTTGGATAGAATAGAAAATGGCAGCTTGCTTTCTTCAAAAAAACAAAAAATAAATAAAATAAAATAACTCCAGCAAAGTAAAAAGTGCTCCAAAGCAACAACGGACCCAGTGAATATTGGGCTTTTCAGTCCTGCTCCAACAGTACGAGTCCATGACAGTGTTTGTCCATTAATTAAGTGCATTAAAGAGAGTTTCAAACAGAGCTGCTCTCGGATATGTCTGATCAGCAGCCAAATGTATTCTCTTTTGATTAAAAGTGATGACCATTACGTGTAAGAGACAGGCGGACTAATGAGGAGGCATCTGCCGGCTAAAACATTTACAAGGAACTGTTCTTTCTAAGATAAATGGGGAGTTTTTGTCTTGACCTTCTCAAGCAGCTGGAAAGAAAAAGATAAAACTCCGGATTCACTGGTTTGTTTTTAGAGGCTTTCAGCCCCTCATGGTCCTCTCCAGTAGATTACGCTGGCTCAAGCCTCATAATGATACTCGACTGTGGCGCTTTGATCCTGTGATAAAACAAATGAAACTCCGTGTATTGGGTTAAATTTAGTTGATGTAATTTTGGGTTTAGGCTGCACAGTGGTTCAGTGGTTAGCGTTGTTGCCTCACAGCAAGAAGAGATCTGTTCTCTTGGTGTTCAAACAAAATGGCAAAACTTTTAAAAGCATTTTTTATTACCAAACGCTTATTTGTGATCTTTTCAAAATAAGAGCTCTAAGAAGGGAATTTAAGAAGGCTCTTTAGTGAGCTCCACCGCTAGACAAACTTTTTATTTTCTATATTTTTCACTCCCATGGACAAGTTTTCAGAGCCCACATTCATGTTTTAGGGTGGCTTTGAAAAATTTAGTTCTGGGGATAATTTTAGAACAGCTATTCTAAGTTACTGCTTTTACTACACATTTGTTGTTCAGTTTGAGCTTTGCTTTCTCAACAATGCGTAAGCCTGACTGCGCAAAGGGGATACACTCTTGTCCAAATGCACGCTTGCATAATCTGTCCGACAAACTCAGTCCTAGACACATGGGAAGGTAACCCCAGAGAAGCAAAGAGCATTTGGTCATTTAGCAGAAGGTTTTTATTTATTTATTTATTTTTTTCAGATTGTAATCCCAGGTGTTGTAGTCTGGTTACAGTAACTCCACCTCCCTCAAGAAAACAAAAAGAAAAATATTTTAAAGCAAAATTTTACCCCAAGTTTCAAAATAAAAGCTTAGTAAACATTTCTCCAACTAACAAAAAGGTCATGTTTAGTCTATTTGATTTGATTACTTTTCAACTACCAACCTCCATTCCATTACTTTTACATTTGTTTTATTATTATAATTGAAAAAGTGTCTGCACAACAAACTTTCAATGAAATACGACCCCCTAAAAACTAGATATAAACATTGTTCAGTATCTTTTAAAGGGGCAATATTATGTGTTTCTCAGGCATACATTTAAATACTATTTAAATACTATACCATAATAAAGTATCTATATCACCTTTAGCTGTTATTAAAATGCTGTTTTTATGTTTAAATAGAAAAAAAAACTTATCTTCTCATCACTTCCTCTTCTAAACGCCTTGAAATTGGCCTCTCTCTCTCTTTAAGAACCACCTTCCGCTTCTGTCCCACCCATTTAAGTGATGCAGTTTACTTGGCATCTGAAAATACATTTCCTCAAAGGTATTTTTAATCTTAAAAGAGCTTCAGTAGCTGCGTTTCCATTGACCATGAAAATGCGCAAACTGGAATTTAGAAAATAAATTTGCTAAATGGAAACAAGTCAATTTCGAACAATAATAGGTTTTTCAAAAAAATAGTTTTGGGATTGGAAGAGGTGGTTTTTCAGCCGTATTGAAATTGGTGTGTTCCGCAAAACTGCAATGGAAACACTTTTTCGCATCACCGGAGTCACGTGATCAAGAACCAGCAGTTTCTACTGGCGAAAAGACGACGAAGAAGATAACAGAAAGTAAAAGTATTAGTAAAATCAACAAAGTAGTAAAAGAAAGTAGTAAACTCACTGACTACAATTTCCCAAAAACGCTGCATACGTAGCCACTCCCAAGTAAGGGCTTGTTGCTGGAAAGCCTCGATAAAAGACGCCGACGTCTCCTCTGATGATGAGCGCTAGTGTCGTGGTAGCAATATGCTATGTGTTTACATCCATTACCGCCATTGTTGGTAATGACTTATCGCGAGAGCAACACGTGACTTTAATAACGTTTCTTACTTAATGGAATCACTGCAATTGCGAAACTGTGTTTTTTCGACGTTAACAGAATATCAGCTTAAAGACACGTCCCAGAGGCGTTTCTGGTTCCCACCTGTCGTTTTGCTCCTCAGCATGGCTTCCTAAAAACGCTGCAGGATTTCTCAACCATGCATGAATGAGTCAAAACAAGGCTTTGGGCATGTTTTTTTGTGAGAGTATAACATTATAACAAAACATAAAACTCAAAAAAGTTGATTTTACATGATATTGCCCCTTTAAACGTTCTGCTGCATGCATGCTACCAAAATAGATGCATATTAAGACTAAACGATTGCTTTTTATGTTTTATTCCATTAATCTTACTGTTGCTTATCATGTAAAGCTAACTGGGAAAGTCTGTTATTTAATCACTTAAGACAAGAATAAAGTATTTGACGCATTACAGCTAAAATTGGAAACCTTTTCAAATGTAATTGCTCATGYTGAGAGAAATGACATCATTGCCTGAGTTATCTCTGTGTAGTGTATCTTAAAAAAAGCTACAGCTCACAGTTGATTAGCTTAGCATAAGAATTGAAAAGTGCTGTTCGCTTTCTGTCCAAATACGAGTTGCCAGGCAACTGGCACTGAAAACTACTGAGGCATTTTTCTTTCCTAACCACAACTTCACTTCATAACAAAGCCCCCACTGCTCCAATTAAGGTTCAACACTCGCACCGAACTGTACTGTATAATTTAAAATAAAAGTACATCAGAATGTAGAACAGGTTAAATAGAGTTATCAGTCCAATCAATCAATAAATAAAGTGTTTCTTTTTTTTTGTTCTCTCCCACTCTGTCAGGGTTATCTGCCAGCCAATGCGGAAAGGAGAGAAAGTGTTCTACAGAGGAAGAGACAAGAATATTTTGGCTTTATTCAGCAGTACTACGACTCGCGCAACGAGGAACACCATCAAGACACGTACAGACAGGTAAAAACTCAAAGTACATGAAATGATCCCATAATCTTTGGTGCTTTAAGAGAACCTGATTGAACTTCAGGATTGAAGGCCAATTGTTGTTGATTTAAGTGACTAGAATTATCCATTTTCCATGATCTGGATTGTGAGTCGACACTAATGACTTGTTATATCATTATGACCACCCTGCCAGCATTGGATGGCTCTTATACTTTAAGGCATGTGCAAAAAACTCCCAATGGTTGCCTGGTTGGGATTTTCTTCCTTAGATGATATTAGATTTCAAGAGATTCTTGGATTTTGGATTGAAAATGGATTGTAATTTACATTGTAGCAGGATGAGACGTGTTACCTGCTGATAGTCACATTGTTAAAACTTTTTGGTGATAATATGCATTCACAGGACAGTATGTGGGTGTTTGATGAATTCACTCAGGATAGCCTTTTTTAACACTGGTCCAGACTCAAACAGCAGACTGAAAAATGGACAGCAGAGTGTGCAATTACCAAAAAGACCCTTTGTCGAATGTAACACCATAACTTAATAAATCAAAGCTGGTTGCTACAATATAAAGATTTTAATATTGATACAGATCCCCACATGTGACTGTGTTTTCAGACAGTTTGTATCATCCTGTTTATGAGGTTTGTGTTTCATATTTTAATGTCTGTAAAAAGGTGTGAAGTTGTGTTAGCTAAAGGAGGTCTGATCAAACAAATAATACAATTAAATATGGGCTTGTTATGAAGAACTACTTGTAGTTTTATTCAGTCTGTGAATGGTATATTTTTAAGAATCCTATCCTATTTCTGGACCTAGTTATTTAACACAAAGTGCTTTCTAGGCTCCTTTTCTTTTGCCTTTCTTCCTCGTGTACTTCTAGGTCTGGTTGTGTTGACACGAGACGAGTGGTCGAGCTCCTGTCAGAGCAGAAGACAACCAGCTTCAAAGAGCTGCCTAAATGAGCACTTTGCTTTGCTTTCGAACACATCTACCTTCACTGTCTCTGCCTCTCAGTTTGTCAGTCTTTTTCCCCACCTGCACCCTTTCATTTATAACATTCATCTACTTTCTGTTCACTTCAAGCTGATAGGAAGCATCAAAGTGGGTTGTCAATTGCAAAATGCACATTTTTCATATTCCATCCAATTTTCTATTGATCTCCTCACAGTGCCGGGAAGCTGGCGCACTTTGTTTTCATGATTGTTTGGATCATGTCTTGTAGCGTTGTCTTCTGCCAGATTCTGCTTGTTCTTGATTTGAGCAGTAATTTTGAGCGTTTTTTCGTGTTTTTGCCAATCACTTGTTTGGATTTTGTTTTTCTTTATTGTTTTTTTCCCCCACTGCAAGTTTAACAGACTTTAATGAATGCATATACATTTTTCTGTTTCTTTGAATCATCTCTATTTATATTTCTTGGTTCATCTATTTGATTATCCATCTGTTTCTGGAGGTTGTAACTTGCCCAAACAGCATGTGTTTATACTGTATATATTTTTAAATAAGCATGTGTGTAGAACTTCAAGCTTAGTCCAACATTTTTCTGCTATTTTTAATTGACTTTTTCCTATAAGAAGTATTCAGTAAACATAGCTGTATTTTTCTACACATCTTAAAGTATTAAACAAGTTGTAGAAGGAATGCTTTGGGAGCGTGTTGAAAGATATTGACTTTSAGTCGTTTTTATTCTTTTGCTAAAGTGGATATGAACATATTTGACCAATGGGTCAAAGGTACCAGCTGTTTTTGTAGATTTCTAAAATTCATAAAKTTGTGAAGGTTTTAACAAACCTTAAATGGAGTATGTAGAAACTGCTGAGGTGAAAGGCCTTTATGTTTCTTTTAAATATCCTTTATATAAGAAAGTATTTCATCACAATTTACAGATATTTGTGTTCAGTCCTCTCTGTCATCTTGCCCTTCAGCAGATGCTTGTAAAGAGCTTTAGCTATTGCTGCTGATCTCTTCATCTGGTGCTTGACAAGAGGCCAGAAAAATACAGTTTGATGAAGAAAAATATCACYAAGGGATAGTGCTGCATGTTGATTTGTACAATGAAATGTAGGCAAATACAACTTATTCATATTTTTGATAAAAAGAGATATAACTTAAAGTTTCAGGCTGGAGACAGGTAGTCAGATTTTCACCCTTTGATAGATTATCATTGCAGTTCAACAAACATATCTTTCATATAATGGCGTAGTTGTTAGTTCCATGAATTCTGCTGTTAATTTTTAAATGTTGCATATTAAATTTCACAGATTGGACATTAAACTTGCACCTGTTAGTCTTGTGATGCGCATGTAATTATGCTTCAGATACTTGGCTCTCAAAGTGTCTGCTTTTGGAAGTTGCGATGTGAGTGTGAGAGAATTTTATCAGATGCAGAAGATGCCTCATAGATTCGCCTGACCAGCACAACAGAGTTTGATAATGGTCACATTATGGTTTTGTGTGAGGCCAGGTGGTCATACCGTCCAACTGCCTGATATGTGGGACATACAGCTTGATCTTTGAACCAGTGGATACATGTGGGCATCCACACATGTTGTAAAGGTTTAAGTAATCAAAGACAGGCCACATCAAGGAACAATGATAGTATTGGGAACCAAATATTATGGATTCCAGTGACCTCTGCACTTTCATTGGAACACAGGAACTGGACTCTTTACAACACCATATGTCAGGCTGCACTTAACCTCTACGACTGTTATTACAAGTTCACTGTCGCGTGTTAGTCTGCCATTAACACCAGAGAGGAGACAATTGCATTTGGTGGTGCTGTAACCTGCAAGCAATGATTTTTCAACACCTTACGGCAGAGTTGTTTATGCTGTGAAGTGCAAGGAGGACTGAAACCAGTTATCCTTCGAGGAAACAAAGCAGCCACTGGCCAAAAGGATGGCCCAGCACGGAAGAGCAACATCATCAGGCCAGGACTCTGCAGTTTACACTCATCTACAGGCCAGGACTCTGCAGTTTACACCCATCTACAGGCCAGGACTCTGCAGTTTACATGCATCTACAGGCTAGTGTTCAATCAGAGATTATGTTCTCATCCTTGATAGAGAGGAATTTTGTTTTGAGAAAGCCATTTTTATGAAGAAAAACAGGCGTGGTGGTCTCCATGCCCAGTTGTCCCCCTCCTACAGTGCTGTTATTGCGAGTATGACTCAGCCGTCTGTGAACAATAGGTTATAATCAGGGCCCTAACGATCCTTATGCTGATATTGCAAGGGAATATCAGTCTTGATTGTCATCGATAAACTTGTTTGTCCACCATGTGGAGGCACTGCTTATAAGGCTGAGTTTACCTGTAACTCCTCAGACTGAAGTCTTTTGGAGAAGAGACGAAACATTTCAACAAAGAAGAACTCGTCTAGAGGACCTTTTTTCACTTTTTTCGATTTTTCTACATTCATTATTGAGATGCATCAGGGCATTATCAAATCATGTTTATAGAATATTGGTACCACATTACCTCAGATCACTATTGTTTGTGATGGCATTTGAGGGGAAGGACCAATCCTGTCAATGTAGTGGAAGGACACACCAGAAACACTCCTGACAACATGGTGTTGGACGGCATAGAGCATKACTTCTGGTCACTACTGTTTGTGACTCAGGGCATCTTGATGGCACAGAGCTACGTCATTGTCATTCTGCTGAGTCGACACTCTGGTTTAATCTTTCAACAAGGCAATACCCATTCTGTGGACTGCCTGCATCAGGTTGAGGTCCTCCTTTGGCCAACCAACCAGATCCCCTATATTTTCCAAATCAAATGTTTGGGATGAGCTTGGATGCCAATCTAGTACCAAACAGCCAGATCTAGAGGTCTAGTTACAACCTCTGGGAGCCGATGTACCACAGCAGAGGATACAACAGCTGTATGGTTTTGTTCTGCATCAGTTCACCACTTGTATCCAMACCATTGTTTAGGGTGAAACATATGAGCTTCCTTTTATCTTTCACAGTTCTCATGTCTAGATTTCTTTTTCAGGATTTTGGAGGGTGACAGCTGATTTAAAAAAATGCTGAAATACATTTAACAATACGTCTAACACGTTTCCTTTTCATGTTGCTGTCAGATCCAAATAGACATTCCTAGGATGAATCCTGAATCTTTGGTGCTGCAACCAAAGGCGACAGAGGTAAGGTGTCCACCACAGACAGGACCGTGGTTACAGTCCCGAGTAACAAGTGCTCATACACATTTCAGTTGGCTTGGCTCCAGCTACCGCCCTGCATCCGTCTGGCTCCTTTCTGATGAATCTATCCACCTGTTGTCGTTCCTCTGTGGGTTAGACAGCCTGAAATGGTGGAAACGTGGTCTCACCAAAGCAGACACGATGGAACACTGAAGCACATAGGATTACAGACACGCCTCATTATGCAAACACATTCATGCGCTCACTTCCACCGAAGACCACAGCTGCTTTCCATTTCAGAGCGCTGAAACCCCAGTCTGACTTCAATCAAGAACACCAATCCACTAACTGTTGCTGTCGCTCTGTTTCTGTCACCGTCTGTAATGGCCAGATCTGTGCTAACCTGCCCGTTGCTTCAGTGTTTGTCTTTTTTTCTGTTTCTCTCTCTGCAGATTCACATTGACATACCAAGAACTAATCCTCTTATTCCTCTTTTTCAACAAGCTTCTGTTCAAGAGGTGAGACCCCTCCAGGAGCACACACAATGCACTTCATGTAGCAGGGTTTTCCCCTTTTGCTTTAAGGCAGATCAACTAATCACTTAAACCCCAGGATCACAATGATTTAAAGTTTTAGTGCAGCTGGGAATAAAAGAAATATGGGAGTAATTAAAGTATGCCACAGAGTAATATTTAGCTGTGTTTATTGTTGTCTGCTTTGGCATTTGAAGTGGGAAAGCCCTTGCTTTGGCACATTGCATGACGCTGGTATTGAAGCACAAATTAAAAGCACAAATACAGAAGAAATAATTTTTGTAGGCATGCAAACGATCCAGTACTGTTCAGCTTTCACTCAGCATGGTCGACGCTCTCTTTGTTCTGCTTTGTTTGCGCTTCTTAATAAAACATTCCGCATTACAGATGGGTGCTGTTTTATTGAGAATGTTTGAAGTAATTATCTTAAAAACCTCTTCAGCTTTGAGTTTAACAAGATTTGTTGACTCCTTTGCTAATTGGTTTTTATATTAGGTAAAATAAGCATTAAACGTAAATGTTATCCGTAGTATAAATACATTAGCACATTTGTAGGTTCAGCAGGTCATCAGGACTTCAGTGCAGSTTGATTCAAAAATGAGCCCAGAGYAGCAGAAAATGGAACATTTTCCATAATGAGATAAAGGCTAATGAGGAGTCCGACACTTCAGGYTGATCTGTGTGTTCACCTGCGCAGAGGTGCCTCACATACACTAAATGTTTCGGTGTAAAACCAGAGATCTTGAAGCATCCAGCAGTGTGAAGGCTCCGGTATGCACACAGGCACTTTAGCTCACAATCGCAGCACCTGAGGCAGTGCCACCTCCCACTGCCAGCATTTTGTACAGGGTAAAATCCTGCACTGTAATCAGAGCGTTGAGGAGGGAAATAAGATCAGACAGGGATGACTCCCCGCCAGCTTTTCTCCAACTACTACTGTAAATATGTTGTATTTTTCACCTTGTTCTTTGTAGCAGAAACCATTTTTTATTCTCTAATCCTCATGCAGCAGCTTTGCTCTTTTTGCGTGCAAAGTAAAAAGCAACCAGCGCATACTGAAATATTCACGCAGCTCGCTCCCTTAATGTAGCACCTTACAGAATTATTCATCCTTCTTTGTAAGTTGCCTTGCAACTTGGAATTTCATTGGGTTTTTAATTTGATTAAAATCAACACTTCTACAAAAAAATTAAGATTAATGAAGGTAAATGAAGGAACGAAGTGTTTTAATTAAAAAAGCAACWGAAAAGTAGTGCTGCTTTGCTTTGAAACCCCCAACTATCACCTTCGGAAGCCACAGTTTGTTCCGAGGTGGCTCTTACTTAACAATCTAAGTGTCAAATAATAAACACCTTTTGTAACAGCCTCCAGAATCAAACCTCTAAGCAATAAGCAAGAGACAGCATAAAGACCAAGGAACACTGTTGCATAATCCGGAGAGACTCCTGAGAGGAACTTGTTGGAGTCTTCCAAAGATTTGAGTCTGGGACAAAACAAGTTTTATTTTCCATTTAACTTAATTAATTAGAATTATTTTTTAGAATCATTGGGCCTCATGCAAGAACATGTTCGTATTCTTATCCTAAATTTCTCTTACTTTTGTTCGTACGAAGGGTTCGTACGAACATGTCAGGTGCTCACGCACGAGGAGAGGTTATTTACATAATTACCACCCCAAAAACACCATATAAGGATATACGTTTCCTGCCCCACATACCAGGAAGTGTTCATTCATAAATGACATTGCAAAGTAAAAAAGAAGAACTTCTACAGAGATTGAAGTTCTGTTCTCGGAGATCCAGAAAAAAAAAGTCATTTTTAGCAGCATCAGCTGTGGAATTAAAGGAGTTGCTTTAAAGGCGAGGAATGAAATGACGACTGCTGTTAATGCCATGTCTCCTGTCACAGAAATAAAAATTGAAACCATATTTATCTCTCTCTGTAGTCCTGCTCCGGTTTTTCTTTGGTCAAATATTTTTAATTTCAGTGTAAACAACTGTGTTACAWAGGTTTCATTTATTCAGAGGAGCAGTCGCGCACCGCTCCAGACCATTGCAAGTGTCAGATGCGTTTCTGAAAAAAGGCATTTTAAAATGTCTCAAAACTTCATTTAACTTCGTATTGACATTGTAGTGCTATACAACAAAATTAATATCAATTTATTTTAATTTAACCTATTTATATCGTTAGTCTATTACATTTAAAATTATAATTATAATTCAAACAGAATAGCCTCTTGTCAACATAATTATGGAGTGTGATTTATTTTCAACTCGAAATATTTTCAAACTAATGAAATATGAAGTTATGAGTGAAGAAAATTCGTCTGGATAACAGTAGACTGACTGCTTGTAAAATATACGACAGGTCTGGACCACTCGTAAATTTTGTTCGTATCTGAAGAAGATCTTAGAGTACAAAAAAATTGGTGAATGCCACAAATTCTCCTAAATCACTCGTACRCACAACTTAAGAACAAATCTGTGCGTATGAACGGTTCTTGCATGAGGCCCATTGCTTTTYATCAAATTAAAAATCCAATTAAATTCCCGGTKGCAAGGCAACAAAATAAAAAATTCTAAGDAGGATGAAAACATTTGCAAGTCTGTGTTTGTTGACGTGCAACAGGTTTCAAACTTTAAATTTGTTTCGGCCTCTGTTTTATTCTTGTGTGTTTTGATCAAATGTATTATCCGTTTGAGCGTTTAAACCCAGGGTTTTTGCTTGACCTCGTTTCACTTTGCGTGCGAGCGTCGATGAAGAGCTTTCACCCGTGACGTCGTCCCAATTTCCTGTCCACCTTTTTAAGATTAGCCTCATCCTCACCTTCAGGGTCTCGAGCTAAGGTGGGATGAAGCCGTGTCCGTTTGACACCGGAGACTAAATAAAACCGATTTCCTGTTAGAAGAATCGGAAAAYAATGGGATATGAGCAGAATTTGTAGTAAAACCTAAAAGTTCTCTTTGAACTCCCACACTGTTTTACACACAGACACTGAAAATGGCTGTCTGCCCACAGTACGATGGGTGGGCCCGGGTTCACTCAGAACGCCTCTGTGTGAAATGTGCATGTCAGCTTTTAAGGTTGCATGAAAAGAAAGTCCCATTACCCACTCGCCCTGCTACCGCCAGCACCTCTTCCTGTTTGATGAATGCAGCTTTGATAAGAAAAGAGAACGTGTGAGAGTAGCATCTCACCAGTACCACCTTCTGTCTCGCATCGCCTTCGTTACATTTTGTTTTAAAAAATTCAAGAAGCAGCTTATCCCCGAAACAAAAACAAGAAATGACAAACTATTTTTTTTTTAAAAAAAGGGGCGGGGAGCCATTTTCACAGCAGAAAAACAAGCCGAGCATCAAGCCTCCTTCATTTCACAGAGCCTGACAGCATTAAAGAGTCACTCATAACGAAGATGGAAGTGTTTGCCTTACAAAAAATAAGTATAGAAGGAGACGGAGGTGCAGAATCACTGAGAGAGGGGAAAAAAGAGAAACTGAGTGGAGAGGAGGGAGCACGCCGACACAAAAACAGAACAAAGTTCAGTGTCAGCCTTTTATTTTTAAGAACAAAAAAAAAAAAATACCTCAGCTGAGGAGCTAACCTGTCACTGGGTGCTCATTGGTGATGGAACAAAATTAAAGGTTCAGCTGAAATTCAGATGCGCCTCAACCATTTCCTCAATGTTTGCAATACTCATTACTGATTCTAAACTCGTCTTGTATTTATTATTTATTTAGCTGACATTTAAGAAGCAGAAAAAACAGAAAAATAGACATGTTATTGTTAACAGTTAGCAAAGTTAGCTAACATTACAGACCAAGCTTTGCCTTTTGGTTAGAGATGGTTTAAAAGGTTAAAAAGCTGTTTCATGCTAATATAATAACAGTGTTTGATTCATGTAGTAAAGCTGATGCATCAATTAGAAGGAAGTTAAACTAAACGACTTTTCCTAACACAACAAAGATGTTTGAAGCTTAACCTTTTAGAGTTTTACTCCTCATTTTAAACCTTCCTCTTTTCTATATCGACCTTATTGTGCCTTAATTGTTCTGATTCCTGATAGTTTTATTCCACACCTCACTCATTTACTACAGTGTTAATAATGTGATAATAAACACTGCACTGTTTCCCCTATAATTTTCATTCAGGCCTGGTTTTATGCACAGAAAAACTGGGCAGACCTCAGAGGCACACTGGCACTGTTGGTGTCTCTTTCATGGCACAGCAGATATTCAATATTTTGCCCTTTCTCCTTGTTCTTTAATTACTTACTCCACAGTAATTAAAGACTTTTCTGACCCAAGTGGTGCTCAGGCAATGAGCAGCAAAGTGCTACTTGCATTGTTTTTGCCACATACGGGTTTGTGTTTGCCCGCTGAGCCGACACAGTTGTAGGGGAAACACTGCAACTTTTTTCGTCGATAAAATTGACTGTTTTTTAAAAGTTATTTATTTGTTTTTGCTGAAATAGTCAGAGCTTTTGTTTTAACATCATGTCATGTGTTTGTTTTAAGATATTTGAGCGGATCCTGTTTATCTGGGCTATCCGTCACCCGGCCAGCGGCTACGTTCAGGGCATCAACGACCTGGTCACACCTTTCTTTGTCGTCTTCGTCTTTGAGTATATCGGTGAGTAGTGTCCCCCTATCCCTACCTCTGTTTTATCCTCTCTACTTTTCCTTTCAAACTCTCTAATCTTGTGTTCTAGTCTTTTGAAGTGAGGGCCTGTCATCTCTCTTTGCTGTCCTTTTTAAAGTGCTACTCTCTGCACTGCAGAGTGGCTTCTTTGGTAGCTGGAATAAGCAAGCTTCACCTGCACAGGTTGCAGAAAATCTCTCCTGGGATCCTTTTACATTCATTCATTCATTCATTCATTCATTCATTCATTCATTCATTCATTCATTCATTCATTCATTCATTCATTCATTCCCCCCCAGCTGACTGGTCCTCCTGTAGCTCTTTATCTTTTTTTGTTTTAAACCAGCAGTTTAATAATCTGAATCAACACCCTCCCCCCATTTTTTTACCTGGTTTGAAATATCAATATTTACACTCACTCACTCACTCACTCACTCACTCACTCACTCACTCACTCACTCACTCACTCACTCACTCACTCACTCAC